CTATTCAGAGACACATGCAGAGGACCTAGAATTGGCAAAAAACAATTAATTTCTTTTGGAACAGATTGACTGAGTAAATGGATCATTTGAATGCAAATATGTCAATGCTTTTCTTATAAAAAGTTGCCCAGGCCAATCAGCAACTACTGTTGCTACAACATGTTGCAAATGACCAACATCTTTATTAATTGAAGTAATCATCTTTAATCCTTCCAAATAGTCCTGCATTGAATGCAATTGTCTTTCTTCTATTCCAATGAGCTGGACACCATTCATTGATCTTTCTTCCTTTCTCTCTTTTATGGCATCATCATAACTATGAATAGTTAGACATTCTATTTCATCAAAATTCATCAATATAGATTTTTGTGTCCACATATCCTTTCTTTGATTATATGGAATATCAAAAATACCATGATAGTCCCAAGTTAAATATAAACACAAGTTATTTGCATCTATATTAACAGGATTATGAATGGATATTCTGTTGAATTCAATTGGAATTGGTGGACAATTAGTAACTTGCTTAGAAACACACGTTGCCATGTGCTTGGCTGTGGAAGTTGATGTTATATCTGGTCTTCTTTTTTCTTTTATTGAATGAAAATCATCCAGATTGTATACTTATAAATGATTTTTCTATAGATATTTTGAATTAGTAAGTAGTATGATATTTTTTAAAATCATTTAATTATGTACTTACCTTCTCACAAAAATACTCTCTTAATTTAATAGGATGCTTTTTTGCAATTTTTTTCCTGTAATTCTCCACAGTCTTGGCACATACTGATATTCCAGCACTTGCCATTGTATCAATTGCCTCCCAACAGGTACCTTTTGCTGCTAAATACAATCCAATATATAGTTTGTAATCATTTACAAACTTATTTCTCATTCCAGCCATTTGATAGCACAATGCCACAACTGCAGTCTTTCCTTCATACTGATTGTATGCTAATCTGGTTTTTGGTATAAGTGCATCACACATTTCTTTAAAAAAATCTTTCAGTGGGGTTGCTCTTCTTCAATTAGATCTTGAAACTTAATTGGGTCCAATTAATCATTGCCTTTCTTTCTTTGTAGGTTGTGTACTGCTTTTGTTAACATTTCCAAGTTATTGACAAGTCCTAAATTCTTATTTACCTCTGAAAATAATATATTGATTAATAAATTTGAGATAAGAAACTACTTTAAAGTGTCATGTAATAATAAACTTTACCAGCACCAATAGTTTCTCCACTATTTATATCTTTTGATTTATCATCTGATAGATCAGATGGTGGAATTTCTGTATTTTTATAACGGGTATATCTGTCAGGCTCTGCAATAGCTAAATAATGTGGATAGCAAATTGGTTGACCAATTTCCAAGTAATTATATATAGGATAGGATCCTTTTTTTACTGCCTTATCATAGGCACATTTTGTAAATGTACGGTATCTAGATTGACTTGATTGGCAATTTTGGACAGAACAAGGACCATGGATTTTATTAGGCATATTAATGTTAAAATTAATAATTTTTGAACTTATATATGTAAATCTTGTCACCAATTGTTATCTTTATTTAAGAAAAAGTTAATTTTCAATTTGTTTATATACATCTAAGAATGTTATTACAAACATGTTATTAGCATGCAAGAATTGTAAAACAATGTGCAAAAAATGTTATTTATCATGCAAAATATGTTATTAACATGCAAGGATCATAAAACAATGTGCAAAACATGTTATAAGCATGCAAGAAAACAACACAAAAAACATGCAAAAATTGTGAAACAGCCTGTAAATGTGTTTATTAACACAACAGAAATGTTAACATTCTATTTACTGGTGAAATAATGATTAGAATTGAATTTTATATATATTAAGTTAAATAAATAAATTCTGGCCAATAAACTCAATTAAATTTGTCGATCATTATTGACCAATCACAGAGAAATTCCGTTATGCAAGTCGAAGACCAACTCTTTAAATACATTTTCGAGTAGTACAATTTAAATTATTAGATTATTTCAAAGGTTTGTCGTATAGTTGCTTTTGACTTCTTAAATTCGCACTATTTGTTATTTGTTAACGAAATAAATGTTGGTGAAGTGATTGTTAACAGAATGAATCAAACCAACATTTATTTTTCATTATCAAATTCATGATTTTGATTGGTCAATCAATAATCGTATAGGTTAAAATTTTGTGGTCTTCTGTTTATATTATAATTAATAAAAAATGTGATTTTTTTTATATATTTTTTTTATTTTAATTTTTAATTCGATGCGAAATGTTAATTAAATAAAAAAATTAAAAAAATATGTACATCCTCAATGTAACAATGCGTTGTGCAATGTTGGGTAGGCTGCGCATCTTGAAATATGTGCAATGGTACCAGTTTTACATCGCGATGCAATTTTATAATTTAGGATCCTGATGGATAACTTATTTTCATGTCATAAATTATTTCCTGGTAGAAAAATTTCTTTATGGTAGTAAATTGACACATTGTAATTTCTTTATTTTATTTTTTTTATAGAAATATGTACATATAAAAATAAAAACTTTGTAAAATGATTATCTTAAATACAAAAATATGGCAGAGACAAGAAAAAGGGAAAAGGCAAAGTTATGTCTAAATTATTTTTATGTATGCTTAGATGCGTGAGAAAAAGTGCATATATACTTTTATAGAGTCATTATACCTCTTTTATAGTTTAAGGTTTGTGTTTGTGCTTAGAGTGAGTGTGATTAGAGTGTCCGGAAAAATGCAGATATTCCCAATATAGAGAAATTTTTCAAGTGACTCATAACCAAATTTAGAAAGAAGGAAATAAGATGAAGCTTAATAAATGAAGTATAAAGAGATGTAAATGTGAAATGATTTGAAATAAATATTTTGTGGAAAAAAAAAAGGCTTTTATAGAAATTAATCATTGATCCTCCCATAATGAAACTAATATAGAAGACCTTATTACATTGGGTACTGAATAAAGTTGTTTTCCAATCCATAATAATGGTTGTTTTTGATAGAAAAATTCATCATCATTCATGGCTTCATCTAAATATTTGGAAACAAATTCCCTAGCCTTCTTCAATGCTTTTGGTATTTCCAAATTGTCAGGATAAAATTTACTGGAATAATTCAACAATCTAATACAATAACTTGTTTCTTCCAATGTTCCCATACCAATTTCTGAAACAAATCCCCAACTGCCATCACTATGTTGAGTTTGTAGACACCAATTAACTGTTTTCAAGCAGTATTCAAGCAAGTTATCTTGATTCTTTAATATGGAATTTTCTACAATTTCAGGATATGATAATAATGATAGTAACAGGTTGTTGACTTTGAAGGTTGCGTATGATAGACTTGCATGCCATTTATCTGACCAAGTGGCCATTTCACTTCTATTGAATATAATTAATTGTATAACAGTAGATATGACTTGTTGAATTGTTATTTTTTTGCCAGCTTCAGTTTTTGTTGGAATTGTAATGATATAATTGACTTCATTGTCGCTGCATTTACCTTTTGAATATTTTGCAAGCAACAACCTTAATGCATGTACATTCGAACTCATGGAAACAGTTCTTTCACCGGGATATGTCACAAAATTCCTTCCATTGTAAAATGTGGCACCTAATTTTTTTAAATTGCATTCAATTCCAGGAAGTATTTGATCTATTATCCAATGACATGTCACAGTGATATCAACATCTGCTGGAATTCTGCTCTCCCATGATGTCCACCTTATAATGTCCTTTTGTAAATTGACAACATGTCTTATAAATTCGGCAGTTACTTTGTTTTTTTCAAGTAAACTTTGGATTAATTTACTACTATCTGACATGATGTTATTAATGTAATCGTTGTTGTTATTATTATGGAATTTCGTAACCTTTGAAACAAACTCGACCATAGATTGCATCATCCAAGATGTTTCAAATATACCAACATCACTAATAGTTGGAACATATCCAAGGCTTGTACCACCTGCTGGCACTCTAGCAATAATTTTTTGTAAGAATTTATAGGCTTTTGGATCCCAATTTGGTGAATTAATAAGCACGGAGGCAGTTGCAGCAGCTGAAGATCCATAACTACCATTTATTGCTTGGAAACCTTCATTTTGAATTTTGGTGAAATCTATTTTGTTGCCAAATGCTTCAATTGAATGAATCATTGATACTGGTTGACGTTTTTCTGCCAATGCAAATAGTGCTTCAATAGGTATCAGGTTCATTTTTCTGGCATGTTCCTTAATTAATTTTTGTTTATCAGGGAATTGAAATACCACACTTGGTTTAAGTTTTTCTAATTCGTTGAGCATATATGGAACTGTCAACTCAAAACCAACATAGTCGATTTCATTAATATTCCATTGATTTAGACTAGGTATTAAGGGAAATGAATGAATTAATGAATTGATTAGTGAATAAAGAATAAATACGTGAGATCACGTGTAGTGTTGGTTGCCAAAACTATTTTGAAGAGGCGAAAGTCAAAACTAAAATTAAAAGTTATATGTCAATACTAAATCAAAAGTCAATAGTCAAAAATCAAAACTGGTTTCGACTTATTGCGAGACCTTTTGGCTTTCACACAGTTGCGAAACTCTCTATTTTTGGGAACCAACACTAATCATGTGACAAGAACCAATATATAGTGCATGCTTACGTGATTTTAAGAAAATCTACAGACTTTTCGAAAGTTGAGTTGAATTGAGACAAAGTCAACCCTAAATTGTTCAATTTTTCTTCTAGGTAATCTCCAGAACGGGAACAGAAAAGACTAAGGGCAAGTAGTCCAGCAAGACAAGGTAAAACACTTTTTGCGCCTTTACCAGCCCAACTACCATTATCATCTTGATGATAAAAAAGCCATTTTAAGCATTGTGGGAAAGCCAATTCGAAATCTTTTGGTAAATTGGTAGACTTGTATTTTTCAGAAGGGACCATCGCCACCCAAGCAGTATCATATGGTGACATCGATATCTTCCCGTATCCAATCCATTCGGTATCGTTGACATCATCTATTGTTCTTTTTGCTGGCTCTTCAGGTGTCTCGTAAAAAGTTGGCCAAACCGAATTAGCATGATTATTTAAAATTCCTTCAGCGTAATCTATTAGTTTTAGTTGTCGTTTTTTTGCTTCTTGTTCTTGTTCTTCTCTTAATAAATCATCAATGTTTTTATTGCTGTTGATAATTCTGATTTTTTTTGAACAATTTTTTATTTTTGAATATTTTTTTAATTTAATTTTGACAAAAAATGTTTTAATGGTTTTATTCATCTTCGAAAAAGGTGAAGGTGGTGGTGAAGGTGGTGAAGGTGAAGTTGATTTTTCGATCTTTCTTTTGACTTTATCATAAATAATTTTATGCATGGGGGGTTTTTTTTTAATTAATTGTCTAAAATATGTCTAATTTTTTTTTATCTAAATTTTTGTCTATAATAGTATAATAATAAAATAATTCCACAAGGAAAAAAAAAATTTTTTTAGAGAAAAATAAATTCCTTGAAATGTTATATTATTTATGATAAAATTATAGTTCCAATATAAAATGAATTTATTTCATTAAGCCTTTTGAATTAGAATTTTTATTGTTATTTATTTTTTTAATTCTCGATTCAAAAAATAATTAATTACATATCATCGGATTAGAACCAGTAGTTTAAAGAGAAATAGAATCACAAATACCGTTATATCATATTTTCTCATGGATTTACACAAAAAAAATTTTTTTCTTGTCCCAAACTTTATTATTTGTTTATTATTTATCGTCATCATCTGGGAAATTAAAATTAAAATTAGAATTAATTAATAAATAGGTGATGGATAAAGAAATGGCTGAAAGAAGAAAATGTGTGAGAGAAGAATGGCATCACAACAAAAAAGATAACTGGTTGATGAATTAACCAATTAAAGGTTGTTATAAAAAAAAAAATGTTTTTAATTAAAAACGACGATATAAATTGCGTTACATTAAATCCGATCTGCACGCATTATTATTGTGCATATTTGTATGTGGAGTATTAGCATGTATTAAAGTATTAAAGTTCTGTGTGTACAATATTTAGAATGTACGACTCGAAATAAAATATAATAAACACTATTACTATGAGATCTGGGAAAACTCCTACTAATTCTCGAACCAGAAAATTAAGAATTAAAAATTATTAAAATAATCAATTAATGATTGGTTTTATTAAAGTTAAGTCATGTGATAGTATCTACGGAAATTATCTAATCTCATACTAACTTTCATTATACTTTCAATAATAATTAAACTTATATTCATTTCCATATTTATAAAAAAAGGTAATTTGCAGTTCATCACAATAGATTTTAAATCAATAAACAAACTCCGGTTTTTGAATTTGTTGACGTTACAGTTAGATGGATAATTCATTCATTTTAAATATTATTATTATTATTATTAATTGTATATACCAGTACAACAAGCCTTTCGACAGAATGCGAAAACAGCAATTTTGTGTTAATATCATATCAAATCTCTATATAAACCAGTTTGCGTAGTAGTATTTTTGAGTTCCTTTAAAGTTTCTTTCTTAAGCATCATTTCCGCATTCATTCATCATGATTCCGTTCTATTGAAAAGCTTTTCTATTATTTTGTATAATTAATAAAAACTCAAAGCATTGATCTTATCTATAAATTATTAATGATCGCTGGAGGGTTCTATTGTTTTTTTAGATCTCTGGTATTTTCCAGTATAGACTTTTTAATAAAACCCTTTTTAATAAAACTCTTTTTAATAAACCGTCCATTCATTATGAATTAGGCTTCATTCAAAATTAATCAATCAATTAATTGATCGACACACGTATCATTTTTTTAAAAAAAAGTAAGTTATAGTTACTAGATAGGCAAATTCTGAGTTTGAATTATCAATGTCACCAAAGGTGACATTGATAATTTAAATCAAAGTTTGTTCAGTATTTTGAGTCATGTAAATGACGTCAGTTAATAGGTGCTAAGTGACTAGTTGCTTATTTATCACGCGTTTCCTATGTAACATATTGCACAGTATTAATATAAAATCCCCCTTCTAAAAATTCTTTTAACTCTTTAATCTAATCGTGTTTTTTTTCGCGTTTTTTTTTTCTTTCTTTAACTAATAAAATAAAATGGCCCAGGTCTACTTTAAGATATTTCTGTTTCATTAAATGATATAATTTATTAGTTTTGCATAATTGCATGCATGAATGTTTAACATCCTATTTGTTTTAACTAGTCTATTCCTGAACATTTTAAACCAACTCAAGAAGAATTAGACAGGTTACAACAATCAAGAATTCCTTCAAATACTTTGCAAAACACAAACAAATGGGTTAGGGTTTTAAATGACTGGCGCAAAGTAGTTGGGTACAACTATTTGCTTGAATCTTTAGATGATAAAGATAGAATCGAAAAGGAAGTAAGTGAATTTATTGTAGGTGCTAAAACCAAACAAAATCAAGTATATTCTAGATCATCACTTAAGAATGCTGTTGCTGGAATCAGTCGACACCTCAGAAATGTCAAAAAAGATTGGAACTACAATTTATGCAAAAAAGAGCATTTTCCAAAATTAAATGGGATTTTAGATGGACAACTGAAGTTAATGAAAAAACAAGGCATAGGCGAAGCTAGACCATATGATGCTTTAACTAGTGATGAAGTTAAATTAATATTAAATCACAATGTTTGCTCTCCAAATAATCCAGCTGGTTTACTTTATCGTATTTTTATGTGGATATGTTTACTTGGTTGTGCCAGAGGTGGTGAACATCATTCTTTGGTTATTTTACAATTTGAGGATACAGAAGATGGTTTTATCCTAAAAAAGTATCAAATGAAAAATGATCAAGGTGGTATTGAAGGAAGGCAGACATCTCATGTTATTTTTTTTTCCAAAAGATCCATCTGGTGTTAATGGTCCAAATTACGATATAAGATTGTATCTTTCTAAATGTCCTTCTCATTATAAATGTAAGTCACTTTATTTAAAGTGACTCAAAATATTGAAGGTAACTCATATATTTATATATTAATTAATAATTTACATTATTTATTCCTCCTATTAAATTTTCCTATTCCATTTTAGGTATAAACAATGGTATTTGGTATGAAGACAAGAAACTTGGAGATAAAACAATTAACAAAATGTTCATGATATTTGTGTTAAGGCTGGTATAAACATATCCAATCGAAATATTGGAAATCATTCAGGTCGCACAACCTCTATTCAATCAATTTTTAATGCTGGACATGAAGAATTGAAGGCTATGTCAATATCTGGTCATGTTTCTCAGCCAGGAATACGTTCTTATTTAAAAGTTACTGGTGATCAAAAAAGAGAAATATTAGGATCAGTCTTGAATGGGTATTATAGATCCTTCTTCCAATTTAACTTCAAATAACAAAAGCAATAAAGTTAATGATGTAGTTAGTGGTGAACTTGATGTTATGAGCATATATAGTGAACCAGAAGATGAACCTGACATAGGTAGTGAACTTGATGTAGTTAATGAACTTGATGAAGATAATGAGCCTGATGTAGTTGATGCAGATGGTGGAATTAATGGATCTGGCAAACCTAATCTTGTAAGCATATTATTCATATTAATATGATTTTACAATAAATTATAATTCAATGACAAAAAAAAAATTATTATTATTGGCAAGTAACTTATTTTGGTATTATATTTAAAAAAATTCAGGGTAAAAATTCTAGTCAATTTCAATCTGCCCTTCATTTACTCAAAAACAAAAGAACATTCAGTGATATTACAAACAATATTGATCATGAAGATGCAAGAGATTCTAAAAAAGTTATTATCCAAAACTACTATAAAATTGTACAATCTATAATAGATAAATTTAGCTACTATATGTATATTGTCAACAATAATAGTGAATTAGTTAATGGCTACTAAATTTATAAATTTAAACTCCTACATTGTGTGATTAGTTTTCTCAGTAACTTTTAATACTGTGCAATATGTTACATAGGAAATGCGTGATAAATTTCTTTATTGTTAATTATTATTTCTCCAATTCTTTGTATTCATAATTATCAAACAATAAATTAACTATTAT